CGTTTATCACATGTAGAAGATGGCAAAACATGCATTTTACTTTCCCGACTCTGTTATACATAACAGAGGAAAACTATCGGAGCATTTTTTACATTATTGGATCAAGGGACTTCGAAACGTCGAGAAATGCAAAAAAATTCGAGGTTTTTTCTGTATGTATGGATGTGTGTATGTGTGGAGTGTGCACGATTTTGTTCACCCAATTTCAAGCTTAATAATTCCCACGACTTTTGTCAGAATTTCTGAAATTTTACAGGGAGGTTTGTATATTAGAGGGATCAATGTTATTAAATTTTGGTAGTTAAAGGTCGAGGGGATAGTGGATCATATCTCGAGTAGGATCGGACTTAATGAACATTTTACTCATTATTAACATTTATTTTTATAAAATTCATCCTACTCTTTTGCCATTTTATAATAACTAAAAATATCAAAAGTTTTTTTATAACAAAATCTGATAAATAACGGCGCCACACAAATTTAACATTAAGCACAAGTTTAGTAATGTAAAATTTATTTTTTAATCAAGATCTCATAACAGCTAGGAACGTTATGCAACTCATTAATGGATTACACTTGGTCGTTGTATCGTTGTACTACTAAAAATGTACGTTTTATTGTATAGTTTTATTGCATAGCATCGCTTCTAAGTGCTGTGTGGTAATTTTTTTTTTTTTTTTTGTAATTGTCGAATTTGTTTAATTCCGTTTTAAAATTTACTTACACCGTATCTCTTTATTAGGTGGACAATTCAAACTTTACGCTTTTCCCTATTTAAAGTTTGGTTACTCAGTCATATACCAGGTGAGGTTAAAACGGAACGGAAACGTCGTAAACATGGCGCCGGACAAAATACACATGGGCAATACGTATATCCGGACCCCAACACGTCATATTCAAGTTGTCTATACATTTTCCAGGTTCAAGACATTTTACAATCTCTAAAACCCTCGATATAAACGCTTCGAAATGATGATATAAATTAGTTTATATCTTTAATTGCATTTTTACCTAATAATTACGTAATAAATGATTGATTAAATTTTGTTAATAAGTAAATAATAATCTAAAGCCAATGTACAAACCATATTTCTATCGAGGACAAAGTGTGTTTTGTCAATATGTTGATTTTGGGGGTGACCATATGACTTATATATTAGAGTTTACAAAAAAGGTTATCTGTTTAGTCGTGTAATCAGCCACTTTGTAATATAGAAAAAATATTATGTACGGTTTTCAACAGAGCTATCGAGAGCTTGTATGGAGAGAGGGCTCCTTTGTCTTTCTTTTATTTTATTTATTTCTTTTTTTTGTAAACAAATAAGATACGTAGATGTTTCTTTACTTTTAAAAAACAGTCTTAAAAGTTTTATTTCATGTTAAAAAAATAAAATTTATAGGGGTAGGGCAATCCAGAGAAGGGAGCTTAAATAAAATTATTAGCTCCCCTCTCGCTAGCCCTAATTTTTATTCTTCCCTTCAAACTCTTTCTGGTTTTTATTAATCATAAAATTATAAAAATGTCTTTATATAAGAATGTTGAATTTTATTGATGTTTTCTTTCATATTTTAACAAACTTAATTACTTTATGCTAACAAACAATTACATATTGTTGTAAGACTCATGTCAACTAATGAATGAATGAAAATTATAATTGCATGTAACGTTACACATTTACATTAAAAGATATCTATAATAAATATTTTTCGAACTACCATTTTTAAGATTAAATCACGTAGATTAATTTCTAGAATTCTGTCTTGAAATTTGTACAAATTCATTACGATAATTACATCTCTAACGCTAAATCATATATGGAAATGATAATATATATTATTATTATTTAAATTAATAAAATGATAATGAATTAAAATGCATTAGAATTCTAGAAAATTTAAAATTAAACTATTGTTTTGACGTTAAGTAGATAATCATAAACGTCATCTATTGACGTTGTTATTAAATAACGACGTCAGTAGATGATGATGTTATTTAATAAAATAATTTTCGCAAAATTTAATTCTTTAAATCTTTTGATTATAGATTTTAATTACAAGTTTCAGTAGCTGAAAAATGAGAACGTATTTAATGAAGACAAAAACACAGATTAACGTGGTGTCAAATGCGGTGTATCTATATAGATAACTGTACCAAATATGTGACCTAGTTCCAGATTTTTTAAACATCTTTATTTGTTCGAAAAAAATAATTCTAGATATGTTTATAATAAACATTCTATCTATAATTATAGTTATATAAACTTTAACTAATAAACTGATCCTTGCTTTTCTTAATAAAATATATATCACTCTTGCATCAAATATACACTAACGAATAATCCTAATTTTTAATGGTTTTTTTTTTATTATATGCCATAATGCCGTTAGTAATTTAATACTGGAAAGGTTTTTAATAACAACTTTAAAACAATTAAATAAAAATAAACATATATTTAAAACGATATAAACAATTAAATATCACTTCGAAACTAATTAAAATTATCTTTTATAGATAATTTTCAAAAACGGTCAAGGATCAATTGAAAGGTTTTGCTATTAATATCATTGAAATCTTACGTTAAGAAAATTAATAAAGCATGGATATTCTTTTGCTCGCTATCATTGTTCAATGATGGTGAGCAAAAAAATGTGATGGCGAGCTTCTATAAATCGTAAATTTTTTCACATGCAAAAGTGTAACAGAAATTATTATTTATTATAAAGTGCTTCTCGTCCTTTAATTGTTATACTATATTTTTTCTTCTACAAATATAACTGTCAATTTGACTATTCATCAGGACATAACACTACAATCAAAAAGGTGAACAAATTAGAACTTTATTCTTTACATTTCGGGCCTTTTAACCCCTTTCAGTTGAAATAAACCATTTTCATTAAAACTGTAATTTAAAATTTTCCATAAATAATTTCATTTTTTCACCTTTGATTGTGTGTGTGTGTGTGATAAGTCCTGGTTAATAGCCAAATTGATAGTTATATTGATAGAAGAAAAAACAACGAAACGTAAATTATCCTAATTTATTATTGAACAATATTCATCTATATGCTATTCAATGTCTGTAGACAAATATTAAAATAGAATGTAACATGCTTTAAATTATATAACATATATGGTTTACACAATAAGAATAATTTCAAACATTTAATTTCAATTAAAATGAGTGGTATAATTACAGTCAACGTGACAAAATCATTGATTGATGTAATTAAATCAAAATAAAATGTCATATATTATGTAACTAACTAAATATAGTTAGTTACATACTATTCGATGTCATGGTCCTATAAATCAGGAATAAACTAACAGAGTATTAAAAATTACAGTAGTTCTTGTGGTCTGGATTCATCTGAGAGAAGATAGCATTCTGATAGAGAAATTCCTTTTACGTATTTCATAATACACTAGGCAGTAAATAAAATACTAATTGGACTATATACCTATAACTACTATTCATATTTATATGGAAAAAAATCGTCATTTTTATTTTAAAAAAACATACGCGTGTCAATCCTAAGTCGATGACTGATTTATTTCGCCACAAAAACCATACTCTTAATATTTATAAGAGATTCGTTGTTTATCACTATAGTTACACAATATTCTATAATGTAGCATTATACATACAATTTTATAATAATAATTTAATATTGAAACCACTAACAACATAACCGAATATCAGGGAAGAAAAGGAAATAGGAAAATATTAACAATTGCATATATTCAATTTGTATATAAATCCTAAATATACGAGCAATTTTTAATCATATTCTCGCCCCTGTACATCATACTTTTCCTGATAACAATAGAGTCGTACCGCGCATCTATGTAACTACTATTCAGGGGGGAATTTTTGAATTGAATTCACGTGAATTCCGGTCTAAACCGGAGTTTATGTGTAGTTAATCTGGACCTCATACCCTAAGCTTTCCGTATATCGTCTCGGTTTTCATCTATCTAACACAATTCTCGATATTAAGGAAGGACAGACAGCGGGAATTTTTCTACAATCTACAATTTTTTTCAAATTGCATCTCAATGAAAGCATCTTACAATGTTCAGTTACAAATTTACTAATAAATATTCAAAATAATAATTGCAAATTATTTATTTTATAATTATCAAATTTTTAAGTAAAATTTAAATAATATCTTGCTTAATTTAAGTAAAATTAAGCAAGATAAATAACGGATATAATGCAAAATCTCGTTATTTTTTTAGACACTTTTACATATTTTAAGAGTCCATTTTCGAAATGTGAGATCGAATTTTGCTTTTATATGATGATAAAATTCTTAAAAAAACATTGAAAAATTTAAAAATTTAATAAAATATTTTAAATTAAATATTTTTAAAAGATATAGAATAGTAAAAATAAATAAATATATATATATATTTA